TTCCGGATACTCTTCAAGGGTAGCCCCATGTAGAGCGCATTACAGTAGTCCAACCCAGAGGAGACCAGGGCATGAGTGACCGTGTGGAGGTCCCCCGATCCAGGAAGGGGCGGTACTGCCGCGCGACACGAAGTCGTGCAAAGGCCCTCCTGGCCACGACTGCCACCTGCTCTTCACGCAGGAGTCGTGAGTCCAGGAGAACCCCCAAATTATGCACTGGGTCTGTTTGGGGTAGTGCAACCCCGTCAAGAACCAAAGATGACAAAGTCCTAGATCTTGAGGCTCCCCGTATCCACAGCCACTCCGTCTTACCAGTTTCTAGCCTTGTGCCTTAACCACTATACCCAACTGATATATTATAAAAGACAGACTCTGTTTTTTACAGCTCTGGCTTCCTAGATATTCTCTAGTTTATAGATTCTATCTTGCACAGAATAATGTGAGCATATTTGGGATAAAACTGGGTTTTCCTAACATTAGTGACATACTGGTCATAATGTTTTGAAAGCATAACACATCTGACATGAATATGACTAGTCTATATCTTCTCTATCTTGGTGAAGGGCACTATATAAAAATCTTGATCTATCAAAGCTATGATGACTATGGAAGTCAATGTCTGTAGACCTTCTGGTAATGTCCACTGTAATATGGAAGCTATCCAGACCCTACATAAACTTTTTATTGCACGCTAGAATGAAGCCCCTTTAAGCAGCTGAGTGCTCTATGTCAACAGAAGAGTACAATCCCCTTATACCCACTATTTTCTTTTCTGGGTCTCTCCCACATCTTAAAGATTACCATATTTTGCACTTTTAAGATGTAGTGCTAGAGAACCACTGAATTTTAAAGCAACCGGCATTCCTACTCTGGTAACCTCAAACACAGTTAAACAGGATCGTACTCCCCTAAAGGAGCAAGTTCATGATTTGGAGCGCTCCTGAACTCATAGTTCCCACCTGAGCAGGAGGTGGAGGCCATGGCCTGAGGGACCTTTGCGCAGCTTCTGGTGCCCCACTTATGGCCCCCACCTAGACCAGGCAGCTTTGGTGACTCATATCCTCATGACCATGCAGTTGGACTATCCCCAGTATGCTCTAACCTGCCTTTGAAAAGACCACAGAAGCTATAAGTTGCACAGAACATAGTAGCCGGACTACTGGTTGATGGACCCTATGTAAGAGTCTGTGGGAAGCAGCTGGGGAAGGAGCAGTTCTGTTGATGTAAGAACAGGCACCCTAGCCCAGATGTGGGGTTTTTGGGAAGGAAATGTTTCAAAGATACTCTGTCTTAATTGTCTTACTCTTCTGAGAAATCAATGTTACAATTTTCAACATTGTTTTTACCCTTGACTAATATTAAAGATACCTTCCTGAAATCGCTGTGGTTCTTGCAGATATGTGGACTTCTTGCCCTGTCACTGCAGAATAACATCTATTTTACAGTCACTGCACTGGCTGTCAGCCTTCTGAACCCATTTCAGAGCTCTGATTATTATCTATAAAGATCTACTTGATGTGCCACTGAATTATCTTAGAGCCAGCATGTCCAAAATTATCCTGCACAGCCAGTAATAGCATCTAGAGATGGCTTATTTAAGCTCCTACTTCCTCTTCCCCATACCCAACGATGAAGGAATGTGGGTCAGAAAGTAGGTCTTCTTGCTGGTAGACCTCATATTGTGGAACATACTGCTTGGCTACTTGGCTCCTGGTTTTTAGACAAAATATCCCAAACATTCCTTTTAACCAGGCCTTTGATGATTATGACACCTAGTTATGAAGAGTGAGGCATATTTATTATATTAGTGACTAGTTTTATATATTTTAGCTACTGTTTATGTTGACATTGTTGTACACCATACCAAGTCATTAGATTGCAGTGATATAAAAATTCTGTTGATAAATCATTTCCAGCATAACTGCTAGAAAAAGCATGAATTAACAAATAAAAGCAAAAACACATAGGTATGTTTTATAGCTGTGAAACTAAAAGAAGGGGGAAGGTGTATTATATGTATTTGAATGCAGGTGGTTGGATCTTTTGAAATGGAATTCATTAATGCATGCAGAGAAATAAAGGTGTACAGGTAATCCGCAAGTCACGTGGCAATTGGGACCGAATTTCTGTTGCTAAGCAATGTGGTCATAAAGCACATCACACGACTGCATCACTTAGTGACGGCAATCCCTGCAGTCCCTGTTGCCATTGTTAAAGATTGTGGGTCGTTAAGAGAGCCCCTCCTTGCAACTCCCTGCCTGCTTCCAACAACGAAAGTCAGTGGGGAAGCCAGCAGGAAGTAGGAAGTCCCAGGTGGCTCGCAAACAGGTTAGCAGGCTGGTGAGTGGCTAGGGAGGGGTGAGTGTGGCTGCTGCCAGGTGAGGTAGGGTGTGTGAGTAGCCAGGGAGGCACGAGTGCAGTGAGGCTTAAGGAAGGTGTGAATGCAGTGAGGCTCAGGGAAGGTGCATGACGGCACGCAGGTGAGGCACGGCAAGGCGTGGGGTAGCTGCTGCTGGGTAGGGGAGGGTGCATAAGTCATGGCGGAGGTATGGCACAAGTGTGGCAGGGCTTGGAGTAGCCGCTGCTGGGTGGGGGAGGGTGCATGAGGGGCCAGTGAGGTGCGATGCAAGTGCAGCAAGGCTCAAGGAGGTGGGTGAGGTTGTGTGGGTGGCCAGTGAGCTGCAAGTGCAGAGGGGCGGGGGGAGGGTGCACAAGTGGGGGAGACTTACCTGAGCAACTTGCAACTTCCCAGCCAGCTTCCCTGTTGACTTTGCTTGTGGGAAGTCAGCAGAGAAGGTCACAAATTGCAAGCATGTGACCATGGGACCCTGCAACCATTGTAAGTGCAAGCTGATTGCCAAGTGCCCAGATCATGATCACGTGACTGCAGGGCTGCTCGGATGGCCGGAACTTCAAGGACTAATCATAACCACCACTCATTCAGTGCTGTCATAACTTCAAATGCTCACTGAATGAGTGGTTGCTAACTGAGGACTACCTGTAAATTATTAATAAAAGGGCTAAAAAGTATTTCCAAAAGTACAAATTTGTGTTTATATTGCTGTGGGTGTGTATGAAACCAGAGATGTATAGGTTTTGACATCTGCAAATTACACAGGAACAGTGACACTGAAAGAAAGGAAAGAATTTTTGAACAACTGTTCAACATCTTGAATCAATGTTACCTGTAGGAAAAAGCTATTCTGTTCAGGGACATGAATAGATGACTGACAAGATGAGAGAGCATGAGAAAAGTGACTGGGCCATTCAAAGACCCAATAAAGAATATGAATGGTACATGCTGTATACTTAAAAGAGGCTATGGATGAGAAATAATGCATATAAGAGAGCAATTGCTACAAAAATAAGGATGTGAGAAAGATATTGTAATCATACAGACAAAAAAATATACAGGTAATCCTCAACTTATGACCACAATTGGGACTGGAACTTCCATCACTAAGCAATGTGATT